TGCCTCGAGCATGCGGGACTTACGGGTGCTATCGGCCCTGGCTCTCGTGTGGTAGGCCAAGCACAAGCCAATGCATATTTGGCCAAGCCCATTGGTTCTTGGCCTCTCCCTGTGGGTTACAGTACGCACGGACACGCCGAGGCTGACCCAAAGGTTGGAGAGGTGGCGTTGTGCAGACTTGGACCGCTCCAGCAGCCCGGACAGGGGTGTTGAGGCTTCTAGAGAGGTTCTCGAGGCCTTCTTGCCCGTGCGAGGGGCTCGGGGAGAGCCAAAGGTGAGCGCCTCTGCTGCAAATCTAACCAGTCTCTCGACTTGGCCACTGACTTCTCTATCTAACTCGAGATCCTGCTGGGACGCACTTGGGATAGGGGCCGCAGCTTGGTTGGTGACCCTGTCCGCCCAATCGTTCCCTGCAGCTACAAACCAGTCCCTCCAGCCAACCTTGAGGACCTCTAGGCCCAACCTTCGATGCAGACCTGCTGCGGTCATCTTTTCCTTCGTCCGAGTGCACCGGCATCCGTACGACAACAGCGTCTTACGCATGCGGCTCGAGATCGTGACATCTTGCAGCGCGTGCTGCATGATCGAAGTGTCGAGGGGCTCGGGCAGCCCGAGCTTGGTGGCAGCCTGCACTTTTACTGCTGCTGCCACTGGGTCTGAAGCAATACCTTGAGCAGGGCGGGGGAGGAGCAGGAGGAGGAGGAGGAGGACGAGGAGGAGGAGGACGAGGTGGAGGAGGAGGAGGAGGAGCAGGAGGGGGAGCAGGAGGAGGAGGAGGAAGCACCGCGGCGCGTCTGGTTTAGCTGGTGTATATAGTTCGTGCTCGTGCTCGTGGAGTCGGTAAGGGGGTGGCGACGGGCGCGCGTGGACAGGAAGAGGTGGAGGAGGAGGAGGAGGAGGAGGAGGAGGAGCAGGAGTAGGAGGAGGACGAGGAGGAGGAGGAGGAGGAGAGGAGGAGGAGGAGAGTAGGATGAGGAAGGAGCAGGTAGAGCAGGAAGAGAAGGGGGGGGAAGGTAAGGCGCATGATGATGATGATGATGATGATGATGATGATGATGATGATGATGATGATGATGATGATGATGATGATGATGATGATGGTGATGGTGATGCTGCTGCTGCTGACGACGAAGACGATGATGACGATGATGATGCTGATGATGCTGCTGATGATGATGATGATGATGATGCTGATGATGATGATGAGGAGGAGGAGGCGGAGGAGTAGGATGATGATGAGGAGGAGCAGGTAGAGCAGGAAGAGGAGGGGGGGGAAGGTAAGGCGCAAGATGATGATGATGATGATGATGATGATGATGATGATGATGATGATGATGATGATGATGATGATGATGATGATGATGATGTTGATACTGATGATGATGCTGATGCTGATGCTGATGATGATGATGCTGATGACGATGACGATGACGATGACGATGACGATGACGATGACGATGACGATGACGATGACGATGACGATGACGATGACGATGATTATGATGATGATGATGATGATGATGATGATGATGATGAGATGATGATGATGATGATGACGACGATGACGATGACGATGACGATGACGATGACGATGACGATGACGGTGATGATGATGATGATGATGATGATGATGATGATGATGATGATGATGATGATGATGATGATGAGGAGGAGGAGGAGGAGGAGGAGGAGGAGGAGGACGAGTTGGCGGAGGAGGCGGAGGAGGAGGAGGCGGAGGAGGAGGAGGAATAGTTTGCGGAGGAGGTGTAGGAGGAGGAGGAGGAGGAGCAGGAGGCGGAGGAGCAGGAGTACCACTGTAAACCCAAGAGTCATGAACGATGTTGGCATCAACCTTCCCTCCACGCTCCCTCTTCATAGGCACCTACAAGGGTTCATTTCCACTGAGGGAACTGCCTCTGTTGGAAGACAAGCGTTTGAAGAGCCTGAAGCGTGCCAAAACATTACCCTCCGGATTTCAACGCCACGGATCAACCTGACTGTTGCGTCTTGACGATCCGGAATCGCGCCAGCACGCCATTCTTGGAATTTCAACACCGCGAATCAACGTAATTGTTGCACCCGGCAAAACTTGAATCTTTCCCAACACACCCTTTCTGGTACGTTGACCATGGGAACCAGTGAAACTCTTGCAACTTGTAAAACAACGAATGTGCGCGGCGCTAAGGCGAGAACGACATTTTGAAAACGGCACGCCCTTAACCCGTGAAACTCTTACAATGTTTTAAGACGACTGTGCGGGGCATTCAGGCGAGAGCCACATGTTGAAAACCATCCGCCCTCCATCTGTCAAGCTGCTGTTTTTTCTTAGCTTGAGGGACATGAATGGCGATGAAGTCTCCGGCGAAACGCCTGGCCTGCCCTTTCGACCGACCTCGGGGCGCGACATGGAGAAGTTATTCATAAGGAAATGGAATGGAGGAGGAGGTGGTGGAGGAGGAGGAGGAGGACAAGGAACAGGCAGAGCATGAAGAGGAGGGGGAGGAGGATCAGGTGCAGGAGGAGGAGGAAGAAGAGGAGGAGACGAGAGAGGAGCAGGAGGAGCAGGGGGAGCAGGAGTAGCAGGAGCAGGAGCAGGAGGAGGAGAAGCATGAACAGGAGCAGGAAGAGGATGAGGAGGAGCAGGAACAGGGGCAGGAGGAGCAGAAGGAGGAGGAGGAGGAAAAGGAGAAGCAGGAGGAGGAGGAGGAGGAAGAGGAGGAGGAGAAATAAGAAGAAGACGATCACGACTAATACTACGAATGCTACTAATATGAATAATCGTAAGCGCAATGAGAACATATTCACAATACTACCACTAATGCTAACAATAATGCTAAGAACAATTCGATGCATGATCAAAAGTAATAATCATACGATTGGTAATAGCAGTTCGAAGGTTAGCAATACTACTAAGACGAATAAGACGAATAGTAAGACGACGCATAATACCAATACTATGAACAAGGCGAATAACAATAGTCATACTACTACGAATAACCATGAGCCTAATACGGATAAACATAATGATTCACACATGACAAGGCATACTCTATGAACAATACTACGACTAAGGCGACTAATACTACTAATACGACGCCACATGCGAAACATAAACATGATCACACGACGAATACTAATACCAGTAGTACTAGTATTCTTCAACATACTTGTAGTAATACGAATAAGAATGATCATACTACTGATAAGAAGACTACTACTAATAGGAGGACGAGGAGGAGGCGGAGGAGGAGAAGAGGAGGAGGAGGACGACTACTACTACTACTACTACTACTACTACGACGTCTACTACGACGTCTACTACTACTACTACTTCTACTACTACTACTACTACTACTACTACTACTACTACTGTTACTACTACTACTACTACCACTACTGCTACTACTACTACTACTACTACTACTACTGCTGCTACTACTACTACTACTACTAGGACTACTATTTCTACTATTGAGACTACTACTACTACTACCACCACTACTACTACGACTACTACCACTACTGCTACTACTCGTACTACTACTGATAGTAGTAACCACTACTACTACTACTACTACCACCACCACCACCACCACCACTACTACTACTACTACTACTACTACTGCTGCTGCTGCTGCTGCTACTACTAGCTGCTGCTGCTGCTGCTAATACCTACTACTACTACTAACCTGCTGCTGCTGCTCTGCTACTACTACTACTACTCAAAACACACTACTACTACTACTACCACTACTACTACTACTACTACAGATACACTACTACTACTAACTACTACTACTAACTATTGCTACTGCTACTACTACTACTACTACTACGTACCTACTAACACCACTACTACTGACTACTTACTACTAACTACTACTACTACTACTAAACTACTACTACTACTACTACTACTACTATACTAAACTACAACTACACTACTACTACTACTACTACTACTACTACTCCACTACCGACTACCACTAACTACTACTACTACTACTACCCACGACTCACTACTACTACTACTACTACTATTCTACTACTACTACTACTACTACGACGACGACGACGACGACGACGACGACGACGACGACGACGACGACGACGACGACGACGACGACGACGACTACTACTACTACTACTACTACTCCTGCTGCTGCTGCTGCTGCTACTACTACTACTACGACGACGACGACGACTACTACTACTTCTCCTGATGATGATGCTGCTGATGATGATGATGGTGGTGATGATGATGATAGTGGTGGTGGTGGTGATGATGATGCTGATGGTGGTGCTGGTGTTGGTGGTGGTGATGATGATGGTGATGATGGCGGTGGTGATGATGATGGTGGTGGTGGTGGTGGTGATGGTGATGATGGTGGTGGTGGTGATGATGATGATAGTTTTCTTATTAAACATAAGACGATGAGGAGGAACAGGAGGAGGAGGAAGAGCATGACGAGGAGGATGAGGAGGGAGAGGATTCAGGTGCAGAGGAGGAGGGGGGGGAGGAGGAGGAGGAGGAGGAGGAGGAGAGGAGGAGGAGGAGGAGGAGGAGAGGAGGAGGAGGGGAGGAGGACGAGGAGGAGGAGGAGGAGGAGGCGGAGGAGAGGAGGAGGAGGCGGAGGAGGAGGATGGAGGAGGAGGAGGAGGAGGAGGATGAGGCGAGAGAGGAGGGGGAAAGAGGATGAGGATGTGATTGGTGATGATGGAATGAGGCAGCGGAGGATGAAGAGAAGGGGGTGGAGGAGGCGGATGAGGATGAGGACGAGGAGGAGGGGCAGGAGGATAGAGGAGAGGAGGAGGAGGAGGAGAGGAGGAGGGACGAGTGCGGGGAGGAGGCGGAGGATGAGGAGGAGGAGGAGGAGGAGGAGGAGGGAGGATGAGGAAGGAGGAGGAGAGGGGAGGAGGAGCGAGGAGGGAGGAGGAGGAGGAGGAGGAGGAGGAGGACGACGAGCCCCGCCTGATCTCCCCCCTTCCCCAGCGAGGAGCGGCTTGCTCTGCTGCTGCCCAGCGGCCGTCTAGCGCAGCCTCGCCCGCCCGGCCGGTGGGCGCGCCCCGCCTGGCCCCCTGCCCCGCTTGGCGTGCCGAGTTTCTAGGCCTCCTAGATGGGGTCGGAGTAGATGGGGTCGGAGGATCGCGCCGCATCGCCGATGCATCGTCGATGCATCGGCGATGCGGTTTGATGCGGAGCCCGGTTTGCTTCACGTCGACGTCGCCGATGCATCACGCACGTCGACGATGCATCGCTGGTGCATCGCCGATGTATTGGCGATGCGGCGCGATCCGCCGACCCCATCCACTCCGACCCCATCTAGGAGGCCTCTAGAGTTATGGCAGGGCCGCCATTCTTTTAAATCGGGCCTGTCCCCCTTCAGGGGGATTTTCGACGAAAAATAAAAAATACTCCAAAGATGCCCCAAAAGGGTAACAAAATATTCAAACAATAGTCCCCAGACTATTCATGTACCATTTTTGGATGATTTTTGGGATATTTTTAGTTTTTCATCGAAAATCCCCCTGTAGGGGGACAGGCCCGACTTAACCCTTCCGCGGGACGTCCCGGCCCTTTCCGGGACAGGGCCGGCGCTTCGTCGTGAAATGGCGCGCTCGATTCACACTTTTCACATTTAAAGAGGAAGCCGCATTCACGTGCAGGTTGGGGCGGGGGGGGGGCAGTGCGGGTCGACTTTCCCCCAGGGCAGGCTCTCACCCCGAGTCGTCTTTCGACGGCCTCGGCGCCCGGCGAGGGCCCCCGGAGGCTGAAGGTGGCGCAAGCCCTCCGTGTGTACTCTTCAAAACAGGGCCCCAGAGGCCAGTCCTGCCCTGAGGTCCTGCTGGGAGCACGCCCATCCACCGCGGGCTTACGGGGAATCTGTCGACGACTCGTAGCTTTCGAGGGACAGACACACGCGGGGTCCAGCGCCGATCCAAGAAATCCGCGCGGTCCTCGTTTTGAAGAGACAGAGACCCGCGTTCCCGCTCCTCTTCTCCTCCCCCTTTTTCCCTCCTCCCATCCTTACTCTGCCTCTGCTCTCCGCATGTCCTCGTCGTCGTCATATGGGCGCATGTCCACTCCATGTCGGCGCACCCCCCACACGTTCCGTGGCCGCGTAGGGAGCTCCACCGAAGGTCGCAGTGGCAGGGTCCGCATGCAGTTCCACCCCCTTGTTTCGGAGCACCTCACACACGTTTCGTGGCCCCATTGGGAGATCCACCGAGGGCCGCAGTAGCAGGGTCCGCATGCAGTTCCACCTCCATTCCGGCGCACCCCTTCACACGTCTCGTGGCCCCATCGGGTGCTCCACCGCTAGCCCCAGAGGCAGGGTCCGCATGCAGTTCCACCCTCCATTTCGGCGCACCCCTCACACGTTTCGTGGCCCCGCATGGAGCTCCACAGAAAGCCTCAGTGGCAGGGTCCGCATGCAGTTCCACACCGCGTTTCGGCGCACCCCACACGTTTCGTGGCCCCATAGGGAGATCCACCGAAGGCCGCAGTGGCAGGGTCCGCATGCAGTTCCACCCCCCTGTTTCGGCGCACCCCTTCACACGTCTCGTGGCCCCGCATGGGGCTCCACCGACAGCTCCAGAGCAGGGTCCGCATGCGGTTCCATCCCCCATCTCGACGCATCCTTCACACGTCTTTTGGCCCCGCAGAGAGCTCCACAGAAGGCTTCAGTGGCATGGTTCGCATGCAGTTCCGCCCTCCTCTTCGGCGCATTCCTCACATGCTTCGTTGCCCCGTACGGAGATCCACAGAAGGCTCCAGTTGCAGGGTCCGCATGCAGTTCCACCCCTCGTTTCGGCGCACCCCTCACACGTTTCGTGGCCCCGCAGGGAGCTCCACCGAAGGCCCCAGTGGCAGGGTCTGCATGCAGTTCCACCCTCGATCTCGGCGCACCCCTTCACACGTCTCGTGGTCCCATAGGGAGGGAGCTCCACCGAAGGCCCACGTGGCTGCGTTCGCATGGCGTACCCGCATCCGAGCCGGTGCACCCCTCATACGCTTCGTGGCCTAATAGGAAGCTGCCCCTCGTTCGTCCCACCTCCCTGGCGGTACTCGCATCCGAATATGGTTGGGCCCCTCGCCAGGATAAGTATGTTTTTTTTTGTTATTCGAATCTCGCAGGTGCATGTGCTTGCTCGCCTCTGGTTAGTGGTAGAGTAATTCGCAGAATAATTCGGCGTGCATGCAGATGGATGGGAAAAGAGCGCGGTCGCCAGGCCAGAGGGATCGACTGCTCTCATGTGCTCCGTGTCTGCCACAGGGCGGTGTCGGGGCACGGAAGTGGCATGGTGACGGGTCAATTGGGATTGGACGACGACGACGACGACGACGACGACGACGACGACGACGACGACGACGACGACGACGACGACGACGACGACGACGACGACGACGACGACGACGACGACGACGACGACGACGACGACGACGACACTGGCGGCGGCGGCGGCGCCTGTCTTATTTGAGTGCGCCGCAGCCAGAGCGCGGCGACTGGCCAGCGCCCGCGCCCCACCGCCCGGGAGAGCGGCGTCCTCCCCGGCCCTCGGGGCAGCACAGCCAAGCGCACCGGGACGATGGGCACTCTACTCCCCCTCCCCCTTCTCCTCCTCCCCCTCCTCCCCCTCCTCCTCCTCCTCCTCCTCATCCTCCCTCCTCCTCCTCCTCCTCCTTCCTCCTCCCCTCCTCCTCCCCTCCTCCCCTCCTCCCCCTCCTCCCCCTCCTCCTCCCCATCCTCCTCATCCTCCTCCTCCTTCCTTCCTCCTCCTCCTTCCCCCCCCCTCTCTCCTCCCTCCTCCTCCTCCTCCTCCTCCTCCTCCTCCTCCTCCTCCTCCTCCCCTCCTCCTTTCCTCCTCCTATCCTCCTCCTCCTCTTATCCTCCTCCCCCTCCTCCTCCTCCTCCTCCTCCCCTCCTCCTCCTCCTCCTCTCCTCCTCCTCCTCCTCCTCCTCCTCCTCCTCCCTCCTCCTCTCCCCCTCCACCTCCTCCCTCCTCCTCCTCCTCCTCCTCCTCCTCCTCCTCCTCCTCTCCTCCTCCTCCTCCTCCTCCTCCCCTCCCCCTCCCTCCTCCTCCTCCTGCTGTGCTGCTGCTGCTGCTCTCCTCCTCCTCCTCCTCCTCCTCCTCATCCTCCTCATCCCCTCCTTCCTCCTCCCTCCTCCTCCTCCCCCTCCTCCTCCTCCCTCCCTCTCCTCCTCCTCCCTCCCCTCCTCCCCTCCTCCCCCCCTCCTCCTCCCCCTCCTAATCCTCCTCTCCTCCTCCCTCCTCTCCCCCTCCTCATCCCTCCTCCTCCTCCGCCTCCTCCTCCTCCTCCTCCTCCTCCACCTCCTCCTTCCCCCTCCTCCTCCTCCTTCCCTCCTCCTGCTCCCCCTCCTCCTCCTCCTCCTCCTCCTCCTCCTCCTCCTCGGCCGAAGATCAAGTCCAGACTACAGCAACAACCACATGGACTACGATGGCAACGCAGGCGCGGCATTATTGCCGCACTCATCACCACGTTGAAAGACCTGGACTGGGACCCTCAGCGCGCCGACTACTGGATTGACCCCCAGGGCGACGGGTGGCTGCTCAGGGAGGAGGACGCGCACGGAGACCCAACCGACGTCATTGACGCGCTGACCAGCCAGGTCGAGCTTCAGCAATGGAGACAGGCCAGCAAGCACCACAACGGCAGCGGCCTCGAGAACGGCGCCGACGTGCAAGACCTCATCAGCCACCTCCAGCACCTCCACCGACGGGGCAAGCACCAACGACACGGAGCACTCTTGCGGGGTCCACTACCAGGACCAAGACAGACGAACAACCGAGCGGAGATGTGGGCACTACTCAGCGTGTTGCAGAACTCGCAGGGTCCCATCATCTATTGGACGGACTCAGAAGTACTGATGAGGAACTGGAGGCGCAAACGACACAGGACCAAAAAATACCACCTCGGCAACGGCGACACCTGGATGAGGATAAAGGACGCCATCGACCATCGGGGAGGAGGTGACGAATCCATCACGATAAGACATATGCAAAACCACCTCGAATGGGAAGACGCTCGACGAAGAGATATTCCAGAATGGGCGTGGCTCGGCAACAGATCAGCAGACGAACAAGCCGACACAGCAGCAGAAGAACACGCCATACCTGCAGCACAGCTTGGATGCTACGAGTGGGTGCGAGCGGTCGGCAACCTGGTCAGACAGCGTATCACACAAGCCACCCTGGACTGCATGGAACAACGACCACCAATGAATTGGGAAGATCGGGCGAAACCAAGGAGAGAAGCCACATTGCGAAGACCACCAGCACCAACTCTCGACGAGCTGGCAACACAGAGCTTGCACCAAGTACAACCGACTCCGACGGGATGGCGCTGCGGTGCATGCGCACAGTCTGTCCTCCGACGACGAAGAACAACAGCAAGGTGGTGGCTTCTCTCCCCATGCAGCATCACGGCGACAGCAAGGAAACCACCACTAACTCTCAAAGGACGCCAAGCACACCACTCCCACCAGATGGAAGGGCACAAGCGAGACCAAGGGTACTACTGCTACAAATGCGGCAGCGTGGCGAAGCATTACATATCGGAAAAACTCGGGCAGGAGTGTGCACCACCTCCACCTAAGTCACGGGCCGATTATGTGGTAAGGGCAAGAAAGAAGCACGCCAACGAACAGCCGACAAACACAACCACGACTCCAGCAACATCAAGAAGTGCAAGGACCGCGACGGCACCGAGCACTGACTGACACTACGCAGCACAGACTGACGCTACCAGCACCGACTGACGCAGCTCAGCACTGAGTGCACGACGGCAGCACTGACTGACGTATCAGCATATTGAGAAGAGCGACCACGACAAGCGCGACGGCATCGAGCCCTCGCGCATGGACAGCAGGGCCAAGATGATGCACAACATCATCCTGGACAGGGAGACCTGCGGCTCCATGGAGGTCTGCGGCGAGGCCTGAGAGGCCGTGAAGAGGCCCGCGGCCGCCGCCGCCCCTGCTGGACCGCAGGCAGGAAGGGAGGGGACGTCGTCCTGGGGGGAAATCTCGGAAATCTCCTCCTCCTCTTCCTCCCCCTCCCCCTCCTCCTCCTCCTCCTCCTCCTCCTCCTCCTCCTCCTCCTCCTCCTCCTCCTCCTCCTCCTTCTCCTCCAGGGAGGGTTTTGCGAGGCACCGCGTGAGCTGGGTCAGGCCCCCGGAGGCCAGGTCACAGATAGACCAGGACACGGAAAACCAAAGAATCGACACCCTTTCTTGCAGAGTCGCATTTTCCAGCGCCCGTGCCTTTTTTTTGTCTGCTGCCCTGCGGGCTTCGGGTCTGTGTCCGGGTTCAGGGAGTTTCTGCAGGCTTTCAGGGCCTGTGCCCGGGTTTCTTCTGGAAGTGCTGCGGTGCAGTATTTTGTTCGTGCCGCCGCCGCCTGGACAAATTGGTTTCGAGGGACGGGCCTGGTTTCCACCACCACCACCGTACGTTGGAGGGGGGAGGGGGTCCTCCTCCCCCGCTTCTTCTTACTCCTCCTCCTCCTCCTCCTCCTCCTCCTCCTCCTCCTCCTCCTCCTCCTCCCCCTCCTCCCCCTCCTTCCCCCCTCCAACTTGTGGTTGTGGTGGTGGTGGTGGAAAGCAGGCCCATCATCGAGGGATGTTGGGTGCCCGGGTCTCGCGTGCCCGGGCTTGCGGGGCCCCGACTGTTACCAGCCTCGAACGTATCCCTATCCCGAAGATTGACACGCCAAAAGGCGATGACTGTCTTAGGGATTTGCCTTCAAAAAGTAAGGGAAACCCTAAGATTGGCATCGTAATGAGGAGGTGCCCAGCATAGGGATAGGGATATGTTCCAGGCTGGTAATGTCCTTCGGCAGGAGGGATGGTCAAGAGTAGTCAGAAAATAGTCTGGGGACGAGTTGTTTTGTCAATTTTGGTACTTTTGGCATAGGTCTGGAGTATTCTTAATTTTTCGCCCAAAATCCCCCTGCAGGGGGACAGGCCCGACCTAAGACTACGGTGGCGCTGCGAATTGTCCGGCGTGCAGGAGGGGAGGGAAAAGAACGGGAGAGGCGGCCGCGGAGTGGAAGGGACGGGGGGGAGCGCCCTCTCACGGACGCAACACACCACGGCGCGAGAAAGCCATTCCGCGTGGCGCGAGACAGTTTCGAGTTTCGCGCGTCGCTCCGCCGCGTCTGTGGCGCGCGTGCTGGCGAGCTGACGCTGACGGAGAAGACGACGTTTCCCCTCCCCCCCCGACGGGGTGACGATACAGTCGCGAAGCGCTCTGCCGGGACACACTCAGGCGAGTCTCCACCCGGCGTAGCAGATGGGTGGTCTAGACTCGGCGGCGAGCCCGAGGGGGGAAGCGGGAAGGAAAAGGCCTCCTAAGAGTAAGAAGGCTCGGAAGTCCTCGGGCCTCCCGAGAGGTGTTCTCCGCCTTCCCCGAGATCGCCAACAACTTTTGAGGAGGAGCCAGGGCTTCTGAGAAGTCCCGCCGCCTTCTGAGAGGACCTTCTCTTTCTCTCCTCCTCCTCCTCCTCCTCCTCCTCCTCCTACTGTCCCCCGTCGCTCGCCGCCGATGGACGGGGGCAGACATCTGCAGGAATGCGCGAGACCGCGCACGCACACGAAACTGTCCTTGCAGAGGCCTAGAGGTTGACACCAACACCGAGATCGGCGGTGTGCCTTCACCGAGGGAAGATGCTCCCAATTTCGGGGATGGTGGTAATATTCGGGTTCTCTAAGTTGCCTACGTGTTTCCACCAGCACCAAAATCTAGGATCATCTTACCCTTGTGGAGGCAACCTCCTGTGTTGGTGTTGGTGCCCATTTCCAGGCTTCCAATCGTTGCGGCCATGCTTATGCAGGAGTTGGCCCAGCACGGCACACGTGCGGGCCGAGGCGCACAGGCAGACGGAGCAGAGCGCCCCGCAGGCTGCCGAGCGCGCGTGCGTGTGCGCACACACGACACACGACGTCGTACTGCGGCCGCCAGTCACGCAAACGCATGACAGCATCGGGACTCAAGAGTTAAGTCGGGCCTACCCCTCTACAGTAGGAATGTTCAAAACTAGTCAGAGAATAGTCTGGGGACGTTTTTTTTTTTTTTTTTTTTTTTTTTTTTTTTTTTTTTTTTTTTTTTTTTATATATGATTGTTGTTTTTCTCCCCCCCCTATTTCTATTTATTCGTCGAGTTTCCCAACCCTCCTGCGTTGGGTTCTCGTTTTGAATAGAGCACTGCTCGCGCGTTTCCTTTCTTCCTTCCT